TGGGCCAATGAATTAGAACAAATAGCAAATCTGTGTACGCCTGTCACGTGTCGTTTAGAGAGCACATTAGTCAGGATGTATACTGGCATAGATAAAATTGTATAACTTCTTTCTGACCTTGAATAATAAGATATCAGTAATCATTTTACAAAAGTCAATTGTCTGATAACGCAGGTTAAAACTACATGTATAATGTCACAGCAACATCCAAACATATACATCATTAGGAATCAGCCAATAGCATTCTGTTTTTCAAATTCTATATTTCAAATAAATGGGGCCGAATGTTATACAATATACACAACGATAAAGCTATGATATAAATGTAAAAATAAATACTTGAAAACAGCATTTTGGGGGTGAGATATGTGATTTATGCATCACAGCAGTGACCTCTGAAAGCAGTGCGTGGACTGTTCTATCTATCAAGAGTGATGGTTATGCAATTTCACTTGTTTTTATTATTTTTGCAACAAAGGGGAAATGAAAGACTATTATTCGTATGATGAGGATTAAGAAATCGTTGAAAATCTTTTCAAAATTATGAGTAAAAATTGATCACAGTCCTAATCAATCATCTTTCAAATCAAAAAAAAATTCTCAGAGAAAAAATGTATTGAAAATTACTGCATTTCACAAGCAATCTAAATTATGATTCCCTTTTTCTTCAGTTCTTTTCTTCTCTTTCGTTCTTGTTGCTCAATCTCTTCCATGAACTTCTGAAATTTGGGATGACGTGGATCAATTGCGTAACCAAACTTCTCTTTGGCTTCCATAAGCAGTGCGGCTCTCTTCTCCTGCTGTGCCTGTTGCTGTAATCGTTTATTTTCGTCTGTCTTCATAAAACTGTTTTTCTAGTTTTGGCATTTTGGCTAAACAGGCCTCGATGTGTTTCTCACTGTAAAAGAAACAAATGCAAATGCCAAGAACTCCATAAGAATAATTTGAATTGCATTGTGCATTGGAAATAGCAATTAAGTACTGTAAAAGGGTGAATTATTCACTGAGTTTTAAATTTGCTTATTTCACTGACTAAAAAATGCACTAAATTAAAACCCAGTAAATATGTAAAATTTAGCATAGAACACATTATCTAAATGATAAAACCATTTTACAGTATACAGAGTTTGATTTTGTTCAAAAGTATAATCATGGCATAGAGTGACTGTAATTTATGTCTATTGCCAGGATTCAGGTATTCTATTTAGCACATCCACTGTTTCACTATGTCGAAAAATGTGTTGTTTTTTTTTGCAAATTTGTCAACTCAGTTGGACCCCCCCCCCCAATGAACCTATACTACTAGAAAGACTTGTGCCTCTACCCCTAATTCTCACTATAACTCCTACCCTCCATCGGCCCCCCAAATGAATCTTATATGCCCCTATAGACACCTATAGTTATAGACATGTAAAGTAATATCAATTGAGGTTAAGGTTTGACTAATGGGAAAGTACAACCATAGCTCCATGGTACAACAGAAAGTCTTTTCCTTATACTCCGATGTACCAATTAGTATTTAATTAATACCATAAGCCCGTGTAAATAATACAATAAATGAATATCAAATCATTTTCCCGAAATTAATTTGGAATCTGTTTCATTCTTTAGAAGAATCAAAGAGAAATGTTACCGTTTGATTTGCTCAATCTTCTGAGCTCGCCGCTGGGCGTTAATATTGGACTGCATCTGTGCTAACGTCGGACGCCATTCTCTCTCGTCTTCGATCATTTCTGCCAATTCATTTCTAGTAGGCCAGGCAACTGCTGGGTTGATGCCCGACGCCTTTCCGAATTTCGCATACAGTTTACGTTGTCCCTTTCTTGTTTTCATCCATTGCGGTAGACTATCATCAACCCGAAGTCGCTCACCCCACGTTAAATCGTCCATGTTTTGTTCATCATCGGCTTGACTCTCGGGAATGGCAGTGCTACAATACCGTAAACCAAATGTATGTGTGTAGCGGACAACTTTTATAATATGGATTTCCTCAGACAAATACCTGAAAACTGGTCTCAGTGTCCGACAGTTCCTCGACAACCTCTGCAGCATGGCTGCCATGTTTGAGAGTAAACTTTGCGTCGATGAGGGCGCCGGCGAAAGGCTTCAGTCGTGATTATTATTTTTTGTGTGGTTTAGTTACTATAAATTAGTGAAACCCTGTTTTACAAAATAGTGACTTGATCGAAAATGGTGTCACCAATTTCGAGAACTTCAAATTTTCACCTATTCATAGTAAAAGTCACAGGGATTGTCAATTGACGGCGAATTCCCTAGTGCCCGTGACTTACAGTGCTATTTGTCCGAGGAACCCTCTTATTCGTGGTGAATTCTTCATCGTATAAAA